GGAAAATTTATCGATGTTGTTCCAGATGAGGATGATGCTGAAGGTAATGGTGACGAACCGTGGAAATTGAATGTGGAGAAATTGGTATTTTTGAAAAATAATTTTAGGCGAATGCCTATAAATTTAGTAAAGATGACTCATACTACATTGAGAGAACTTACGGTTGATCGTGCAACGGTTGAGTTACTAACTGAAATCACACAACGATGTGTAAATCTTGTATATTTGGCAATTGGAATTTCTTCGATACCTATCGATGAGTTATATAGAATCTCAAGTATGAAACTTGAAGTATTAGTTATTGGTTGGAACCTTTCTAATACAGAGAATATAGAGCTATCGAAGGAAGAATGCGAAAAACTAGGAAAATTTTTACCAACGTCATTACGTCATCTATATATTGACTTCCCAATGACACCATCACAACTCGAAGTGGTTCTTCATAATTGTGTTATGCCACCCATCATTAGTTTAAAGTTTGGATTATCAGATTTTGAGAAATGTGCCATAGCAGTTTTAAAGCGTGCGAAGGAGACTAATGGATTTCAAGAGGTGAGGATTGTAAGACCGACACTAAAAGCTGTAACTATGATAGAAAAGATATTACAAAAGGAGAAATGGGAAAAAAGCCTTATTCGTATGGTAGGATTTGGACGAATAATTGGAATTAAAGTTGGAATAGAGCGTGAAGAACCATTTGGGACTCGTGAAATACAACACTAATGTTGTTATCTCGTTATTATTCAACAAATAACATAGTAATTTATAATAAATAATGAACATTGGATTTAATTCTTATGTGAATTTCTTTATGAATTTAGTTTTGTACAGACATTTTTCTTTTTCGAAAAAAACTTTTTTGTATATATCAGCGTAGATTTTGATTATTTTCAGGAATATTCAATTTAAATATATTTTGTAATTATTAGTAATATTTTCAATTATCAAAAAAAGAAAAAAAAAAACGCAAAATAATTTAAAACAATCTTAATAATTTAAGTAAATTTTTTTCTAGGTTTATAATATAATGAGAATTTAATATCCTATTGTTTTAAAATATTTTATAAATGATTTATTATATCAAAATGTTTAACAAATCTCGATGCTCGATGCAACGTTGGAAATTAAATTACAGAAAATGAAACTTAGTTACAATAGTCATGTAAGTAATATTAATTTACCGTATTAAAGATGCGAGCCATGTAATTTAATATTACTTACTATCATTATTTATAATAATACGTAATATAGTTTCCATTATATATTTGTTATATTCTTTTCCAAAGAAAATAACAGTGCTGCAATACGTAAATACGTAAATGAAAGGATCAATCATTCTATTAGATACTATAATTTAACTTCTATATTCGGCATTGATTTTAATATAATCATAACTAAAATCACATGTCCACATTTTAGCTTCCTCATTACCAATACCCAAGTCTACACTAATTTCCAGTTCTTCCAGTTTTAAAATTTCCAAAGCTCTATCTTCATCAACATTTTCAGGTTCACCATGAGTAAGCAATTTTAAAGGAGTTGATCCATCAGTTGGTATAAATGAAACCGAAACTTTATTCGGAATGATGGAAGAAACACCAGAGTAACCAACTGCACAAAGAATTCTACCCCAATTTGCATCTTGACCAAAAAGTGCTGTTTTTACGAGTGCTGATGTTGAAATTGTGGATGCCACTTTTTTGGCATCGGAAAATGTTGGTGCACCCTATTTTTCATACATAAAGTTATATATATATATATATATATTTAAATATATTTTTATATATTTTTACATATTTTTATAAATTCTTGAATCAAAATATAAAAAAGTATGATTATTTACCTTAACATGTATAGTAACAAATTTTGTAGCGCCTTCACCATCTCTAACAACTAATTTAGCCAAGTCTGCAGCAAAATTTGTAAGATCATCTCGAAATTTTAAATAATCTTGTCCTTTTACATCATTAATA